TACACTCAAATATATGAAGAACTTCTTCTTAATTTATCTGAATACCGGGATCTCATTGAAATGGATAATCTGGGCGTAATGAAAGGCAATATCAGGGATGAGCACACATGTATCTTTTAATTGGGGCTGCGAGCTGAGTCGATATACTCTTCAGCATGCAGACATCAAGGTTGTATATTTTATATCATTTTGATTGTTGTATTCCTTGAACATTGCTTCCAAATTTAACAAAATTCTGTATGAAATTTTTAACGCACTGAAGTAAGAACTATTCGTATTATTAATATTATTTATATAATTCTATATTGGTTTTGTGCAGTGTCCGAATTGCTCTTCGCGCGTCTTTTTATACCCTGAACCCATTTTCAATGGGAAATCAGGGTATAATGGTTTTGTGAAAAAGTATGTAACGGGCAGAAGGAGGCGTGGCAGACCCCATAAAGTATATATATATTTTTGATCAGCGCGACGAGCTGAGTCGATATAGCCCTATCTGTCCGTCCGTCCGTCCGTCCGTCCGTATGAGTGCGTCGATCTCAGAAGTTATAAGAGCTAGTGAGCTGAAATTTGGCATGCATACTCGTGAGTACCATAAAAAAGTTTCGGATGATTTATCGAAAAAATAAGATAAACTTGTACTGCGTATGGTATACACGAGTATGCATGCCAAATTTCAGTGCTCTATCTCTTATAGCTTCTGAGATCGGCTTGCTCATACGGACGGACGGAGAGACGGACAGGGCTATATCGATTCATCTCGTCGTCCAGATCAAGAATATATATACTTTGTGGGGTCTGCGATATTCCTTTTGCCGGTTAAATACTTTTCCCAAAACCATTATACTCTGATTTCCCATTGTCAATGGGTTCAGGGTATACAAATATTCTCGGGATGATAACTTAAGATACAAACTTTATATTTGTGAATCTATTTTTTTTTTAGTTTTCATTTTAAAATTATAGTTTTAGCTTTAATAATCTTGTGTATTGTCGTAAAGAGCAAGATGCAAATTTTCATACAAGATTAATTCGGTCTATTATTTAGACTTGTGCAAAAAACTCGAATACCTCCTGCCTGTTATTAGAGCTATAGCCAAATGGCCTATAATGTGTTATTTACATGAACTCCTTATGATATTGAAATATATAGAATATTTTTCAATGTTCTCTTAATATAATATCCACTGTAGTTCAACGAGTGGTTATTACCCACCGAAGGTGGTGCGGCTGTGTTGTTGGCATTATTATTTTCAATTTGTGTTCCATTGCTTTTAATAATTGCTATTATTGGTCTGGTTGGGTGGCGATGTTTTTTCTCTAGTGTGTTTTTAATTTCAACACCTACATATATGCATATGTGGCTGCAATATTTATTTCATCAGCGCTTGTCGCTTTACGTCTGCTGCGTTTCAATTAAAACCTCGGATCCACACTTGACCACAACATTTGAAATGCCCGAATGGCATTTAAATGGCATCAAACGTGTCTATTCTGATTTGAAAATGCATCGTAATTGGCAGCCAGTAATTTGTTAAAGTGCTTTTGGGCTCCAGGTCGAAGTCTGCTTACGGATTATGCAGCAGCAGCAACACCAGCAGCTGCACCGGCTTTGGCCACATTTGCCAATCAAATGCATTTGCAACATGGCGTATGCGTAATATTAATTGAAGTTAAGTCTGTGCTTGCGTTGCAGGGATTATTTAGCTACTGCTGGCCGCAGAGGCAACGGCCTGTACGTCGATTAACCCTAATAGCATACGCCTCAGGGAACACACACACATCTGTATTTATATGTCTGCTTATGTGTGCTTAGGTATTTCCAGAGCAGCCCCTGAGACCACACTTTAAGCTAAATTGGCGATAAACCAAAAAGCAAACGGCTGGCAGACGCTACGTGCAACAATTGTTTATCGAATCAATTCACTTAATATGCACAGCAATGTTGACGTACTCAGAAATGCATCAGCCCTCTTCGGGTGGGCAGGCGAGCAGCAACAATTCATTGTGATAGCCGTCGGCGAAGATGGCTGCAGATGAGATTGTCCTCGCTAACAGATGCTCACGCGCAATTTGCGTCCACATCTCAGCCGCATGTATCACGTAAATGGCAGCGGAATTCATCACTTGTCTGTGGATGATGGCGATGCTCGGTAGAGGCGCACAGATGCATGGGGTTATAATTTTAGTGTCTTTTGCTGTCGCCAAAGACAGGAAAGAACTTTGCATTGACGTCATATTTCGTGCGGTCGTGCGCTTCTGTTTTGAAGTTAATTACAATGCGCCTGGCCCTGACTCGTGACTCCTGCTGGCTCCTGGCTCCTGTCTGCTGACTTCTGACTCCTGACCTTGCGTGCTGCATTCGCGATGCAGGGGTTTCGCTTTTAGCTTGCCGCGCACGTTTGTGCCAAAAATCTTAATTTCTTTTGGACTGGTTTGAAAGTCAGAAGCCCTTCGTGTCCATTTTTCTTCCAATTTAGGGCGCAGCACCGCACAAGCACAAGAACAAGTCCAAGCCCAAGCCTCTAAGCACACACCCCGACACCGACACCGACACCCTTTCGTTCCTTGTAATTTCGTGCATGCGATTCGCGGTTGCCCTAGCCGGTTATCATTTCCAACTGGCTGCACCTTACAACTTTAAGGAAGCTTCGAATGTCTGAATTCTGAATGATTTTGTCATAACATTTGTGGATGGGCACGGAGCATTTCTGCATACTGCAGAGCAGCTAATTGACTGGCATTGATTATGTGTGTGCCAGGGTCGAATGGCCTTGTTACTCTGGGCCATTTTGCCATATGGGCAATTATTTTAACAAGACGAATGCAATTTGCTGCACCCCAAATCATATCAGCTTCAACGGCTGCCCGCCCACGGGTCACGCACGCAACGTGACGAATGAATTATCATAAATGCTCTGGTAAACCTTGCCTTTGCTTGCGTGCCAGCAGCTTGGCTCCTGTTGAATCAAATATGAGTCTAGATTAATTTCTATTACTACACTTGCTTAGTGCGCTCGCAGTTGACGCCCTCTCGAACAGGAGCTCTCCCTCTATCGCCCTCCCTTCCCATTGTCCCTCTCATGCATACACTTTTAATTTCCCTAAGTGAAACGCCGCAAGTTTTAAATTGGCTCGTTTCTCACAAGGAAGCGTCCAGAGAGGCTTCGCAGAGCTACAGAGGACAACACTGGATCCCATGCACTTCAGGCAGCTGCAGGGCATGGCTGCCCTTCTCTGCTCCGGTGCCCGATGCTTTGGTATTGTTCCTGGTTGCCTTTTGAGCGCCTCCTGCTCCACATGGAACTCCATGCGGCAGCAGCACCGCCGGCGGCCCGAACAGCGCCTCGTCATAAGTTTTGATTTGGCAAAAGTCTCCTGCTGCGCTTTTGTTTACCAGCCACGGGCAGTGCCCGAGGGTGCTTTGCTGGTGCAGCTGCATGGCTTTTGGCTGGCTTCAGCATGAGCCTTTGTCTCGGACGATCTTAGACGCTTGCCGGGCTGAGTGCATTAGGGATACAGTCGGCGAATAACCTAAGATGCTGTGAATACGCGGAATGCCCAGGCAGGTCAGGCCACGCCAAGCCATTATCTTTGCGGATTATGAATGCATGAATTCCTATCGGCACTGCTCAGACTTCCCCAAAGGCATGTAAAACTCGTTCAATAGTTGCCGTGGGACGTGCAGGAAGTGCAATTCGTTGATTGCCTACGATTTCAATTTGAGCTTCATGCAAATCGAAAATCTATCTCCAGAGTTTTAATGCGTTTACAGTGGGCTAAAGTCGTGCATAAGAGTGAGTTTATCGTCGTTTAGGTCTTAACAATATTATAAAAGCTGTTACTGTTATTATAAAAGTATCGATAATAAAACTCTACAAAAATTTAGGGCAAATTAGATCCTATATAAAAGTAATGCATCATCGGGTAATTTCTAAAAATATATCAATACTTATTTATAGAGAAGATTTTTACTTTTTACACCCGGAATCAATCGATTTATACTGGTTTATCTAAAATTAATTTAAGATATTGTAATATAGACGGAAATGTGTTTGACTGATTGAGTTTTAGTTTAGATTAGCTACTTTTTACTTAAGAAGTGAAGTATCGGTGTTTGCGCGTAGTCTGCGAATTTTCTTGAATATAATTTCAATTCTGTCTCAACAAATATCTTACCAACCATGGCAAAGGTTTGGCTGATGAGCACTCTCTTTTGCTCTTTCAAGAACAGCGATTGTTCTCTTAGAAATCATATAAAAGGGCCATAAAACGCAAGACCTAATTTCTAATTCCACCCCATTTCACGAAATCATACTTTGCGCGCGTAGCGTGTAAAAAGTGAAACTCCCACGAATGAAATACAAATAGCCCAACAGGCTAGAAACACTATCGAAAGAGTGTTACATAGTTTCAGTTGCTATACACATATTCTTACACTTGTACACACTCATACACATACACAGACGAGATTGTACGACCCAATCCAGTCCATAGTACTGAGAACTGAGAGCTTGGGACAAAGCGCTCAGCAGTGAGAGCGACGAATGGTCAATAAAGACGAAAGTGTTCGCATGCAAAAATGTGAGTTCCGAACCAAAAACTGTAGAATAACAAAAGTGAGAGTTTCTTAGCTTTTAGGCCAACTGACCCGAATAGAGGGTTCGGACTGGAGTTGGGGAATGGAACGCTGACCGCAAAAACCTACAGTGTATATAATTTATATGAGTATATATATATATATATATATATATATAGTATATATATATATATATATATATATATATATATATATATATATATATATATATATATATATATATATGTATATGTATTTTTCGGATTCTATTTGCATAATTATACCAAAATATTCAAATTTCTATTGATTTTGCACTAAAGTTGACGTGAAAAGCAACACTTAAACTTCAAAATGTGTAAAACAAATTTAAATTAAAGCTAAGCACGCGTCGCTTATAATACGCGTTATAAAAAGGAGAACTTACCTTGAAGACCTTGAATGAGGAGACCACATAGAATGCACCGTCCTCCAGTTCATCTAGGTGGTACTTTCGGTCGCCATCCATGGAAAAGACGTAGCGTGCACCGCGTGGCAAATCCATTTTGGGAGAGATTTTGTCGAGTAGATTGTCCAGCGAGGTAACATCTCGGCCGGGACGGTAACGCAACTCAACGCCCGGGAAGAAGGGGTCGCCATTACGGTAGAACACAACGCGACGAGCCTTCCAGTACGATAGATTCGAGTAACGGGAGGCCGCGGCACTCGAGATTTCTGGCCGCGATTTGGAGCGTACTAGCGGCACGACTGGCGGCTGCTCTGAGTTCTCACTCATGTTATCCAAATAGCTGGGACTAAGCGCACGACTCTGGGCGCCTGTGCCTGCCCCCGAGCCTACAGCTGATCCGCTGACTCTACCGTTGCGCTGGGACCAATAATCGAGCGAGGAGCCACCGGCAGTGGCAGCGGCACGGACTGCAGCTCCACCTCCACCCACAGTCGGTGCTGCACTGCTATTACCCTGCAAGTCCCCGGATGCTAGGTCATCATCCTCGTCGTATTGGGCATTCTGAAGATGTATTTGAAAGCTTGTTGAGCTGCCGGCACGCCGACTTGTGGGACTCTTAGTAGGGCTATTGCAGTTACTATCGCTGTTCCGACCCAGGCGCGAGCTGTTGTTATTTACGAGGTTATCGTTATCATCGAACTGGGCTGTCGTCTGAGGGAATGTCGGCGAAACGTTTCCTTCGAGTTGTAAGTTCGAACTAATTTGAGGCATTGTTTGGCCGCCGAGAATGGGCTCGCCATTAACAGCTGCGAGGCCACCGTCGCCATCACCATCGCCTTCACCATCGCCATCTCCATGACCAACATTAGCACCAGCGCCTGTACCAGCACCAGCCCCAGCAACAGCGTCTCCGTAGTCGTTCTCTTCGTTGGACATTGTCCGTGTAGCAAGAGTTGCGTTCAAGCTCTCTTTGCTTTCCTCGGCTCTCTGTCTCTGTCTCTCCCTCTGCGTCTCCTTCGCTCGCTCTCTATATCGTGGTCTGTTGTGACACAAATCTCTGCGTGCCGTTGCCTTGCGTGACTCCTTTGTTGTGGTCAAAAGTCGCCAGGGTAGCGTCTATATCGCGTCGACTCAAAACGACTTGAAGGAGCAAATTCTACTCAATTCGTTCGCGTATAAGATTTAGATTCGACGTAGTCGACGTGGGCCACGTGTGCTGAGAGGTTCTGGCTTCCACTTACATTGTCCGTTATTAGATCCTCATATACAGCTGTAGATGATCCTAAAAATGCACGAAATATTTATGCCCTTAGCGTGTCGAGTTACTTAGAAATTCGTTTTATATCAAATCTCGGTTTGAGTTAGCACACAAATCTCGCTATTTGAGCTATTTGGAGCTTTCTACTCGATAGCCATCATCGGAGTACTAGCAAAAGGCAATGCGTCCATGTCATGTCCATTTTCAGAAGCCCTTCAGATACACTCCAGACGCAACTCAACAACTGTCGGACCAACAACTTCACAGTTCCTTTGTCTGTAAACAGTGAAACAGTGTAAGGAACCCACTTCAACTTCTCACTCTGCTTCGACAATGATGCCAGCGTTGGGCTCTTGAATGGAAAAATCGCGCACTATTTGTCTTGTTTCATGCATCCGCCCTTTAAGTCTCCCCTACATTGGACTGTGCCTGTGTCGGCGAAGTCCGCCTGTGTAGGACCTCAGAAGTGGCTGCTGCTACAATTGACTTTAAACGAAATTTTGGGCCAGTTGGCAAACTTGCTCTGTTGTACGTACAAGTGGGCAAGGATTTTTCACTTATATGCAAGCATATCCACGCTCTGGAGCTGACCAAGAGCTGGGCGTAACTTGCCTCAAGTGACGTGGGTCTGTTCAGTTTGGCCCGTCCACCCCACTGACGCTTGGCTCATATGCAACTATTTCAGCCGCATTGAAATTTACCATTGCGAAGTTTTTTGTTTTGGATAATGGTTGGTTGGTCGGTGGAATCGGCTGTGGGAAATTGGCGAATGTTTCCACGTTTTCTACCGTTGACTTACCTGGCTTATGTAAATTACTTTTATTGCAACACGTTGCACTGCACTGCTGCCGTTTGTGGCTGGGGTCGTTCGTTGTCCTTTGCACTATTTTTTGCGGCAATTAGGTTAATGCCACTTTGGCTACGGACCTCTGGGATGATGTTGACTGCTAATGTGCAAGCGGTTGTTGGCTCCTCGGATGGCGCAGCCTCCGTCGCGTTTACTCGCACTAATTGCCTATCAATCAGGCTCGATTGTTTCAACTTATTTGAGAAAGCAGGCGGCGCGGGGATAAGCACACATATTTACTTGAATCGAATTTAATGAAGTCGAGCAAAGTTTATTAAAATATCTTACGAGAAAGTTATCAAAGGGAAGTGTTCAACTTTCAGACTGGTCTTCCCTTAGCAGCTCTTGGCCGTGTGCACAATGCAGAAGAAATTCCGTCTGGCAACTTTGCCGGTCGAAGTGTTTTTGAATTGTGTTTCATGTGCCTGTCCACTCTAAAGTCCTACACGTAGCCAATTTTCATAGAGAGCGCGCCTCGGGCTCCGTCGACGACGACGACGACGTCGCGGGCATTGAATTACTTTCTGTTGTTGTGTTGCTTTGATTGTGGTGCAGGCGCCTGACTTATGGGCTAATGCTGCCACGCGACTTCTCCGGCATCGCCACACCTCCAAGCCCCCGTTCGCCTAATTGTGCTCTGCTTATAAGTCACCCGTCCCTGTGGCGGGCATTGTGCCATTCGCCGTTCTTTTAACCATTTTGCTGTGCCACTTCCTCCACCTCCGTCCAATCTCGTGGTCGACAAACGCCTCTAAAACAGGCTAGCGGGAGGTTTAACCACCTCGGCGACATTACGAGTAAAGTGCTCGAACTCAGTTTGAGGTATCACAAAAGTTAGCACTTGTTACTTAATGGCTCGAGCGTTTGGTGCTCGAACGTATGTACAGCGGGATACCGTACACTTTAACCCCATCGGAGAGCTATTTGATAGAGACATTAACAAGAATGCAGTTATGAACATCATCAATATTAAGTTATCGATTATGATGATAACACAATCGCAAAACATGTCATCAGAAATGAAAGCTAGAATCGATTTTATGCCTTTTACATAACCTTGTTTTTACATTTTAATGATCCTGATTTTGTCAAACGACACATATGCAAATCTGTGTGAGTAAAACTGACTTTTTTGAAAAATGAATAATTATTTATTTTCGGTCTATCAATGATAGCTAAGTTTTGATTCACCTAAAGATTATATATGAGTAACTTTTGAAATATCCAAAATTTTCAGAAAGATTTGTTTTTTATTCAGTTTCTTAGTCCAGTGTGTGGCTCTCTAAGCTAACGTGCTTGCTTATTTAGTTGTAAAATTAGAGTCACGAATTTGCTGATTCGTTGTACTTTACGTGGGTAAAATCAACGCCGACAAAACCTTTCACCATGTCATGGGGCTCCTTGCTGCGACGTTTCCCACTTACTTTTCCACTTCTTTGGTAGTCCCAGGCTGCAATGCCGTCAATTTTTGTTTAGGGTCACGCTATTCTACTGAACCGATTAACAGAAGTGCAACTGATCTACAGTTGTATACCCTGTAAGCTGTCAAAGAAGAATTTAATAAAATCGTTCTAATGTAAAAGTTGCAGCAATAGAAAAAAATCTGAAAATGCTTATATGATAAAATATATATCCAACTATAGTTAAATAAAGGATATCTTATAATAGGGCACTTTTAATAAGTCACCATTAATTAGTCATCTCACAATTAGGCCAAACTCCGGTGGCAATACGTTTTTATTACATTATATTTCCAAATAGCGATTGTGACTTGAACTACATAGGTAGTCGCAAGGTCTAGTTGGGTTAAGTCTCTGCACGACAATCTCAGGACCTCCGTAACTAAGCCGAAACACATAACCCCCTATTGAAGGCAATGTATAATCCAATGACTGTCAAAATGAATTGTTCACATTAAATTTATTTGATGCTATTTCATGCATTCACAGATACATTCATATAGAAATAAATTATCACTGGAAATGTTTACGTAGCCTGAGAGTAATGAAATCACGCCGAAAAGAATTATTATTCATATGTCCCTCCGTTAGAGTATCTTAAGTTCGATATTCTGTTGATAACTATTACGTTTTGTAATTAATAATTTTACTCTTTATTCTTACAGTCGCGTGGGCGACCCACCGTTTGGTGAAGTTAATGTATTATTTTAATATTATTTCCGGAAAGTGCGTGACTTTAGCTCATTGCAAATGAAAAGTCAAATTGTGTATTATTTTGCTTCATGTAGTTATGAAGATCAAGTAAGACAGCATGGGACTGCCTGACTATTACACACCCTAAACCATACGGATTTACATAGACAGGCAGGCAGGCCTAGATTGGCTTAGCTCGTCGTCCTGAGGTCTGTCGCTATTGCTTCTGCCAGGGTATAATATATACAATAAGGTCAAGCCTAGGATTATTTAGTTTCAGTTATCATGTTGATAACTGGACGTCGTCATTAAGTAACTCCGTCTGCTTATTCATATACATAGGAGTTAATACTTATATCTTCAACTTAACCAAATCACTTTATGATGAAATATACAAAATATAAAATTGAAGGTTTCCGGAAACGGATTTAGATTAAGAATTTGCAAGTTTCCAGTTTACCCATTGTTATTACTGGCATATTATCACCCGCATTAGTGGCTAATCTATTAAATATCTCATGATTATAAGAACTACATATGTATATTTTTTTTTTTTTTTAAGAGATAGGTATTAATCACAAAATGATGTCTCCACAAGTCGACTATGTATTATGCCGTAAGCATAAAATAAGACTTCATTTCCTTTAGGCATTTAAAATAATGTTTGTTGAGTTGCTCTTTTAATTTTTATAAATTTTATAGAGTACAGATAACTGTGATTACTCTGAGATGCTCTACATTTTAAGTTTTAGTATAGATCTATGTTCAGGGTTTTAGCCTCTGCGACCAAGCCAAAAACAATAAAGAAAACATAATATACGCACTTTATTCATTTCGTCGTCTGTGATGCATATCTAGAGATATATATAGGTCCTTGCTATCCGTATTTCAGTGCACTAAGAGATACTCAAGCAGACGAAGAACAAATGCCGCTGGAGTATACAGCTCATACGAGTGGCAGTGCACCAAAAAGCCACTAGCAAGTCCAATGGCACAAGCCTATATTTTTATTGCATACTTTGGAGCGTGATTCGCAGTTCCCGTCTGGAACATTGTAAATAAATGCGATAGAAAAAATGGTGCAAAGGGTGTGGTCAAATGACTGCAACGACGACAGCAACTGGCAGAAAACCTCAATAAGAACAAGAACGAGAGCGACAACAATGGGGCTGTTTTAATGTGACCATTAAACAATAGCAATAAGGACAATGGATACACACACATACACACAGGCACACACACAAAGCCACCAACCAGTGCACTGGTTGCAGAGCTATAGTAAACGCTTGAACAAAAGCTCGCTGCTTACCCAGTAAACAATTTCAAAAAGATATATGATGCGGGCGAGTCAGTTTGTAACTGAGCTAATCTACGACTACGAAACTATTTACCTGTCCAAGACACTAAAATTATTGTATTCAGTACTCTGATAACTATCTTCGCGAATTATGTGTCTATAGCTTAACTCCACAAACGGCTGCCTGGGTATAATTGCAGCTGGGTGTAAAACATAGTCCTTCCCATTGATGGCATCGCTCGAGATAGCATTTCAATGCAATGTACGAGCATAATGTCCATCACATTGCTCAAAGAAAAGAAACGTTAGGGAATGCATCTGCGACAGCCGAGGCGTGACGATGACATTGGAGGGACATGGAGCCAGTGTTCAGTGTGCAGCTAGTGTGATGAGTCGCAACAAAAGCGAGCTGTTTTATGGAAGATGCGACAAAACGAAAATGTCAATAATGAGCAAAGGCCCGTCTCTGAGTGTGCCAGGGGCCCTGCCAATAATGTGGACGCTGTTGCATTTACACCCAAATATCAATGGCTCGCTCCAGAAGCACCGGCAGCAAAGAAGAAAATCCAATAGAATCGAAGACCTACATCAGAAGCACCAGGCATCTGCTTTGACCAGCTGAATGAAGCGCATGACAAAATGGCAATATGAGAAATGAAAGAACTGAATCAAGTGTAGGTGGCAGGAAACCGACCACGAACTACTATTCGGACAACTACGTGGGTCAGTCCAGCCACAGACTTAAGTACTGCACATAAATACGCATACCAATGCGCACACACTTACGTACGTATATGTTGGAGTAAGCGTGTCGGTAAGCCCGGACGCTTAGAAATGGTAAAGTCAATGCAGTTGCTCGCATTGTAAGCCAACACATCCCTTGCGATAATTTGGTCGCTGTCATGCCGACTGGCAGGAAAAACTCGTGTCCTCAAAAGAGAATCAGTTCGAGCTGTCAACGTTTGTTGGCAAAAGTTTCAATTGTCGGCGCCCGAGGATATATGAATGCGATTGTGAATGCGATTGTTTAAGTTTTTGCCCTCCTTCCTCCTGTTGCATGTACGAAGACAATTAATTATAATATTGTGTGCTACAAGCGATCAACATAACGGCTCAAGCCATTTTCATTATCTGCATATGAAGAGGACTGACCAAATACTACTACTTGAGCACGCTTTAATGAATTGAGAATTGAAATTTTTCCTAGGTCCGTGTATGTTACGCGCATATCGAGTCTTCTTCCCAAATCGATAACTACTCCCGATATTTTATTACCAATTTAAAGCCTAATCGAAAGCTAGTTAGTTAATTATATCTCCTCCACCTTTAGAGCTACAGTCTGCAAACTTTGGTAAATGGTAAATGTGTAAATTTGAGTGTAGAGGTAGGCGTGGCAGAGTATATGAAGTATATATTTCTTTATCAGACCACGAACTGAGTTGATTTAGCCCTGTCTTTCTGTCTGCCCTTCTATGTCTATCAATGACCGTTTAAAGGTGTTTGAAGGTTTCGATATTAGGCGCTATAAGAGCTATAAACATGTTTAGAAAATAAACACAACTCAGGCTCTTAGCACACCCAAATCCACTGGCTACTGACCTGGCAGTAAACAACAGTAGGCGAAGGCTTAAAAGATCTCATCCCTTAGACCACAGACCTTAAATGTTGTTAAAAATTGTAAATATGTAAATACTGGCTTCCAGCCCATAATCTAAGTTAAGGTTAAAGTCAATAATGCGCTAAATAGTCTCAGACAATAAGCTGCAATAAATGAATTCAAAAAAAAAAAAAAAAAAAAAAACACACACACAACTATTTTTGTTTTAATGCTGTTGATCAACACCTTTAAAAAATCGTTATAATTTTATATTTCCTACATGTGTTAGCTAGAACTCTAACGCTCATACATATACGAGCATATAATATCTACTATCCTATCTACTTTAGTACATACACTAGACTGGAGCAGACTGATTTGTGAAGAACGCAGGGCATATAGACATAAGGACTTAACGATTCGTACAGTCAGAGTAAGACTCCTCCACATACCTGGATAGGCTAGAAGTGCATCCAAACCATCTTACATCTGGTCGGGCTATCGACAACAACGGATTACACCCTCCGGAACGTCAAGGAATCGAAAAAGATTAAAAACATTAAAATAGAATAGAATTAAAAGTTACTAATTTAAATTTTAGATTTATAGATTGTATCACAGGCCCATTCGCTAGTAATTGCTTAGGCGAAATGCGCTATAGAGTCTTTGACAATTAGAGACTACAAATTGAACGGAATAGAAGGAAAAACAGAAATTGCAATGCTCTTTCAATACCCATTTCAGTTGTGTGGTCAGCTAACTAATTGCTGGCTTTTTTAATTCGTTCATTTGGTGACTGCTTTTAATATGATTGCAATTTGCGCCAACATTTGGTGGCCAAAACCGTCAAAGAGTTGAATGGTCAAAACCAGCTGCACAGTGGCCGTCTCCGACAACATAGCCAATGCTTTGGCTACTATTTTCCGTAGTCGACTTTTGGGCACATTAGTTTCGCATCACTTGCCAAAAATGCTGTGGCTCGAGCCCGTAGCTTCTACTTTGCGAGTGGCTTGTTGAAAATGGCTGTTTTTATGAATGTATCTGTATATATATATATATATATATATATATGTATATATAAAGTGTATATATGTAACTATTTGTGGAGCAGAAAAACTGCAGTTGGTCAGCAACTAATTACATACTACGTATGGTACTTGGCTTCCAATTCCTTTCAGCCAATGTGAAACTTTTCATTAGCTGCAAGCATGAAGAAATAAATACATTGGTAAATCAATTATAAGGCTTTCAATTGTTCGTTCGCTTCTGTTAATTTATTTGATATATTTAATTTGACGCAGCGCTTGTCGTTAATGGAAACCAGAATACTTTCAGAATGTGAAGTTCTTGTCCCGTAGCATTTGCCTTTATTACCAGTCATCATTTCAGAGCCGCTGCAAATGTAATTAGCTCTAAGTGTAGCGTCTGCGGCCATTGTTTTCCACATCTTCGTAACTTGTTAATTACTTTTTGCATTGCGGACTTTTTATTGAAAATTAATGCCAGCGGATTGGTCATCTGGCAACGTAACGGTCCGGCGCCGCTGTAATTGAAATCAGCTTCAATACTACCACATATAAATAGGGTCTGCAGCGTTGACTCTCCTCTACATTACGAACATAATGATGTCAATTGCATGAAACTCATTATGAATTTTGATTATGGACCCATTTTTCACCCTATTTACATTTCACCACTAAAATGATTTTACAAGAACACAGCGACGGTTGGTAATTAAAACTCATAGCCTATAAATGGCTAATATACATACATATATTGATATATACATTGTTATTATACTCATTCACGAAAGTGAATCAGTATATTGGTTTTGTGCAATGTCCGTCTTGCTGTCCGTCCGTCTGTCCGTCTGTCCGTCCGTCCGTCTGTCCGTCTGTCCGTATGAACGCAATCTATTTCGGCGCTATTGAAGCTAGAGACTTGAAATTTGGAACACATACTCGTGTATATCTCCGATTTATAAAGTGTTAAAATTTTCCCGATCCGCCCACTAGGGGCGTGGCAAATCGGAAAATGCATTTTCCGATATACCAGAAATCATGTTTGTTGAAAAGCTAGAAAGCTGAAATTTGGTATGTAGGTCCGCGTTGACCACCCAAGATCACGAGCTATGGCGGATATATCTACGCCCATTGGGGGCGTGGCAAATCGGATAAAACTGTATCTCTTAAAGTTGTAAACCTAGAATGCTGAAATTTTGCACGTCAGCTAATGGTATGATTCTATAAAGTCTAAAGATAAATTATAAGTCTACGCCCATTGGGGGCGTGGTAAATCGGACCTGAAGATATAGTGATTTTTTAAATTGTCCTATATTTTGGACACTATTGATGGCAGAGACCTCAAATTTTGTATATATACTCGGACTGATCACCCAAGACCAAAAAGTTTTGTCGGATATATGTCCGCCCACAGGGGGCGTGGCAAACCGCAAAAGTTTATATCTCCTAAAGTATAATAGCTAGAAGCTTCAAATTTGGATAGTTGAGTTACTGGTAGCCTTCTCTATCGATTCCCCAAAAATAATTTTTACGTCTCTTTAGGGGCGTGGCATATCGAAAAATACCCTGTAATTTTCACATTTCTTGAGGGTAAGCATTCAAACTTTGCAGTTAGGGTACCGTTATCTCTTTCTAAAAACTGACCAAAAATGAGGTGTCTACGCCCAGTTGGGGCGTGGCAAATCGGAAAAACCTGTATATTCTACAGTATTAGAGCGAAACTTAACTACTAAATTGTTGATGGGATGTGAATGAGTATTCCGCAGTCGGTAACGTCCGACTGCAACGTTCTTACTTGTTCTAGACTAAGTTCATGCAAATTCTCTCAGAACTGTAAGTGCCAACCGTAGCAGGCCGAGATCTTTTTCTTACTCTCACTCAAAGATATACGTTTCATTATATTATGAGTAATAATACATTACATTCACTTGAATATGACAGACTTTAATCCCAAGAGTTGCACAGAAAAACCCTCTCACACTCGCCTTGTTGTGGCGCGAACGTGTAAAAGTATTGCTGAAATCATAAGCAAGTACAAGAAAAGACTATTTTCTGAGACGCGCCAAGTACTCGAAAGATCGAAATGCCGTGACTGTGGCCATTTGATTGGACGTTGCAACTTTGACTTATTGAAGAGCGGCCAACGGTGCGTATGTGTAATCAAGGGAATTTAAGTAGATCTTGACCAATTGTTAGTTAAAATTTAGATTCAATTTCATCTCAAGCAAAAAAATCTATGCCGGCTTATTTTGTATATTCTTTGTCCTACTTTTGGGGTTGGCATTGATACTGATACGTCGATACAACCACACATTTATTTATGGATCTGGCGGCTGCAAGTCGGGAATTTTTTGGACCTACAATGATTGCATTGTAATGGCCTAGCCAAACAGCAAGTATGATAAATTTGTTATTCTGCAACTATATTTTCATCTATCTATGTTCTCATTTCAGAAATTCTTGCCTAAAGCTACGAATGGTAAGTCATGGATATATATAATATGGTGTTTTATTTAGCTCGGCTCAGACGTTCTGCTGCTGATGCAACAACTGCCATTGACTCTGCCAAAACAAAAAGCTCTACTATTTGAAATACAGTTTTTGCAAATTTGTACAGTTTTATATCTAGAGAGTAAAAGAATTTGTTATGTAGATTACTGATCTTTCAAAAATCAATCCGAAAATCAAAATCAATAATCATAGCCACATCGGTTTTTATTATACTTCATATTATTATTATTATTATATATATATATATATATATATATATATATATATATATATATATATATATATATATATATATATTGCATTTTCTGTATGTTAAGAAATCAAGGATACAAAGATTTTATGTATATATGGATCAAAGTCTTTATTAAGTTGGTATAGTTATCAGTTTGAGACTCAAAATTTATCGGCTAAAATATTTGCTAAAACCATTTGGATATATACATATATACCGATTGGGGGCGTGACAAATCGGAAAATGACCGTCAATCAGTATTCGGCAGTCGGTAGGGACCGAGTGCGACGTTTCCTTGCTTCTATACCCTGAACCCATTTTCAATGGAAATCCGGGTATAATGGTTTTGTTGAAATGTATGGAACAGGCAGGAGGCGTGGCAGACCCGTTATGTTTTTATCGAATAAAAACATTCAAGTTAAAGTCAGATGCCAGTAAAGCTAATTGTGAAGGATTTTTAATTTTTTTATATTTGTCAAATATTCAATAGAATATGTAGATCATATGCTGAAAGTTTCATTAAATTCCGTTATATCAAAAAATAATAAAGAAGTAAGAAGGCTCCCGGCGAAACTGCTCAACTAGGAGATACCCTGAACCCTCTAAGCTGATATTCTACTCATTCTGCACTTCTTTTATGCACACATACATACACATGCATTACAAGCACGCGCTCTGCCAATTGCACAGTAAGCAGCGGCTGTGCTTGCGCTACAATGTGAGCAATATTACAAGAATTTATTAGTTGAATAATTTCTTTTGTAGACATACAATCTTTATAAAACTTTCAAAGCATGATCACATAGTTAAAATGTGTGTACATTCTAAAGCACAAGCTCTGGTACTTGAAATACGTTTTTTACAAATTGGGGCGAAGGAGGCGTGGTATCCAAAACATTATATACAACGCAAATTGAAGTCTCCTGGTCTAAAAGCGTTCAAATTAGGCTGAAAAAAAAATGTCGATTTTTCGATTGTTCTCGGTAAAAAAGTTATCGGATGAGTTATAGAAAAAATAAGATAAACTTGTACTGCCTATGGTATACACGAGTATGTATTTCAGTTAGATCCACTCTATTTATGAACTGGCTCATTCCTAGAAAATGGACCTAATGAACTATTTAGTTTTAATTCAACTACAATGAACAACACTTCATTCTTCGTACGAGTTATCCCTACAAAGTACGAAAAATAACACTTTAAATAAACAAGTAAGAAAGCTCTAGTCGAGACTGCCCGACTACGAGATCCCCGGAGCCCTTCGAGCAACTGATATTTCAACACGCAGTGTTGATTCCTTCAGCCTGTTACATACTTTTCACAAAACTATTATACCCTGATTTCCCATTTTCAATGGGTGATGCGTGCATGCCTATGTGTGTGTCTTGTGTATGCAGAGAGGCGCGAATAATTACTGAAATATCAATTCTTAGAAGGGTCCAGGGGATTTCGTAGTCTAGTAGTCTCGACTAGAGCTTTCTCACTTGTTTTTCGTACTGTTGAATCCGTATTAGATCTACCTGTTCCAAGCAACAGAAAATTGAAAACTTTCTATTTTAAACTTTATTTATTTAAAATATGTAATATCCGTAGCCATAGCATAACACTTTTTGGCTCTCCCAGTTAAGTCTGTGTTTTGAGCACCTTTTGTGGCCATTTTCGCAGCGTTTTCACCCAATCGAATGGGAGACCACAGTGCGCTAAGCACACCTTGCTAATTAGGCCGCAGGCAATTTAGCGCCCCTTTTTGGGCGTTGTCAATCATCAAGCCGTTTAAATAATAAATCACTTTAAAATTAGTTTGCCAAGTTGAGCAAGTTGAGCGTCGACAAATTAGTAAAAGTTAATTAAAACTATTTAAATTGCAAATTATTGTAAAGTTTTCCCATACATACACTCTACGCACATATATATGTATATATATAGATATATGTATATCTATATATATACATGTAAATATGTAAGTCTAGAAAAATTCCAACGAGAACAGGCAGACAGAACAAGCTAGCGTGCTGTAGCTGGACGCTACCGACTGCATAATACTCTTTAACGGATCATCTAATTGTATTCATGAATGATGTTATCCCATTGCACTAACGGCCGATTTGCTTTAATGTGAGGGATTATATAGATTAATCCGACTTAGATAAATCTTCAAAATAATTTAATAAACATTAAAGAAACAGAAGTGAGTTTATTCTTACTCGCGTTATCAACCTGAGGTCAAAAAGATTCAATGGGTATATCTGCGCCTATAGGAGGCGTGGTGGATCTGTTAAAACTGTATATTCAACAGTTTTAGAGCCATAAAACCAAAGTCTATATACACGTTCACTTGTAGCCTGGTACAACGGGCATACTGTATAATCTACAGTTTCTTTGTTAGGAACTCCCAGTTTTCACCTCTATTGATTTGCCAAAGATTGCATACATACATAGGATGCGCGATAAATTGGAAAAAGCTATATCTTTTTAATATAGTGGCGGTTTTGAATGAGTATTTCACAATGAGTAGTGCCCCAACACGAATATACATGTATTGCAAATCTTAAACGATTTTCGTTGATTGGAACAAGTAGTTGGAAACAGGGAGAACCAATATACTCGTCTACCTTCGTGAGGGCGTATAAAATGCTGTAGATGTAAAGCATAGGAACACAGCACGCACACACATAGACTAAGGACCACATTGCTGAGTAAACCTTAGCAGAGTTAACGCCCATCCCAGAGCATCGCAGGATTCACACACCCGCACACACACACCCATGGTATATACCTATATATGCGCCATTCATTGCTTTTCCTTTTCACAGCATGTTTAAATAGGGGAAATTAAAAAAAGGAGCGCACCTCTGCTGTACTGCTAGACATATACATACATACATACATACATACATATCTTTGCGAAATATGTACAAAAAATGTCAAGTTGTGTGCGCAACTTGGCTGGCAGGCAGTCAGTCAGTTGGCAGCCAAGGCGTCGGAATATTGGAGCGTCGCGGCAGTGGGAGATGAAGGGATGGGTGTCAGGGCGTTGGGGCGTTGGGGCGTGGCGCATGGAGCAACAATTTGCATATAAAAAGGGTTGTTAGACTTTAAATAGCGGCCTGTCCTATTATCTGCATTAGGGTAGATATGGCGCGCATTAAGATAAGGTACTTACAGCAACGTTTACGGGGGGATCGGCATGGGACTCGAACTACGCAAAGTTAATTTATGCGGGTGTGGAAGCGACTACACTCATACATGTGTGTGTGTTTGAACGTCTGCATGTAAAGCATGTTGAAATTTTAATTAAAGCCAAAACGTTTAAGTACTTCTAAAAGATGTTGAAAGAATCTAAATTGGAAATTCAATTCCTTTGAACTTTTCCTTGCGCTGACATTCGAAAATTCATCGAGATTATCTCAAAACTAGCTGACTAAACTTATACAACTCTTCTGCCTAAGCGATGCGAGCATTATCTACGAAAACTCCATATATAATGTACTATTGTCCTTGTATGCAATATAAAGTATGGATTATAGTGAACAACTTTTAATGTTTATACTCCTTAATTTATCATCTTGTTCGTTATACTGTCCATCTTTCCGTATGAATGCAAACAAGTATACCTTTATTGAATTTTGAGTCTTAAAATTGAAATCGCCAGAGGCGGGGTAAATGCGGAAATGTACATAAGTTGATCTTCGATATTGGAATATATACTAAGACAAGCAACCCCGGACTGCAAATACAGATCTATTTATCAATATCTATCTATCTCCCCAGATAGACTAAAATTATGCATCTAATCCCTCGGGGCGAGTTCGAAGAGCTACCTACCAGTTAATGAGAAAACATTAAATACTTTTATTATATTAAATACTTACATACTGAATGCGTTTGTCCAAGATATCCATTTGCGTCAACTTTTAGATTCGAATAAATATTTTTACGAATATTAGGGAAAAGCGTTTGTCATACTACTGATTTCAGATATCGATGTCTCTAGTCTCACACAAAGTCTCATTTATTCTGCACTCTATTCTGTATTCATGTACTAGATTTATATAAGTGTCTAATGATATAATATCATCAGTCTCATTGTGAAAGCACATTTCTCGCTATAAGCCATCCGCATTGATGATATGGCAGACAGGATAAGAGAGATACAAACATTTTCTAACTTCAATCGGTGCTCCAAATCAGTGGTTGAGTGAACTCAATGCTAAATGCGAACTGAGTTTGAGTGGAAATCCGCTCATCGTTAGCAGCCTTAGTTGTGCTGTTTGGCAGTCAGCTTGAACTGTATGGCAAGAGCTGAAAGTCAAGTACCGAGTATAGCTACTTGTAAAATGTTTATACAGGTGCTGTGAGCCTGTTTCTGATGGAGTCGCTGCTGTTATTAACCCCTATTGCTGCTATTGCTCATCGAAAACGATAACCAACTTGAAATCATATGTGTGCGCTTACCTTAGTGTAGGATCCCATTCACCCAACAAAAATATGTGCCTTCCATGTACACAGACATCCACAGTGCAATAGAAAATACGCGTAGTTGGGTGCTACCGACTGCATAATACTCATTGTTGTACGAAACAGGAGGGGCTCTGCAATAAATAAAACGCGAACTCCAAAAGATGTAGCTTCTTAAATTTATAGTCTATTTTTTATAGATGAACAGACAAGTGAACGAACAGACGCTTGCAAGATGGACATGGTTAAAAACCAATATACTCCTTCGCTTCGCGGATGAGTATAATTAATGAACACTTCAGTACACCCATAACACATTATTTTTAGTGGCTTATGCGTGCCGATGGCGCTCTTGGATTGACTTGATATATACACTTGACACTTAATATACATGGTCATTTTTAAGTGTTGTATAATAAACAACAGCTGTTAATGTTAATAGTTGTTAATGACCGACCTATGGGGCTTTCACAAGAGTCACCTGCATATCTTAAAGCTGATTGCACATTTACGGGATAGAGAATATA